TGGCGAGGGAAGTGACTCAAGGCCAGAGGCGGACAGGCCCAATGAAGGCAGGGTGGGGGGAACGCGGGGAATGGGCGTCCTAGAGCGGATGAGCCGCGGACAGGATGGGGCGAGGGTACCGGCGCCCCCAGAACGCCCCGGGCATACCGCGAGGGAGAGGGCCCCGCAGCTGGGCCCTGCTGGGCGGGGGTCTAACATCTGGGACGAGTAGTAAAGCATCATCCTGCCCTTGGGGAGTCGGGAGGAACCCAGTCCCATCCAGCTGTGCAAACATTAGGAGGTCCCAAGCCTACCCTTGGGAGAGGGGCGAGAGGGGTGGTCAAGCCGCCGCCACGACGGCCCCCGCGGTGCGGGTTGTGCCAGCCTCCTCGGAGCCCGACGCAGAAACTTGTTGCAACAAACAGGCGACCGCGGGTGCCCCTAGCAGCCAGCGGCGGAGTGGGTGGGCGGGCGAGAGGGAGGGGAAGGCTGGCGGACGCCGCAGCGAACTGGTGGGCAGACCCGGAGTCGCCGCGTAAGCGGGGCCGGCTCAGTGCGGTGCGGCAGGCGCGGCTGTGCGGCAGCGGAAGTCCTTTGTTGCAGCACAGTCCCTGGCAGAGCCAGAGTCTCTCCGCGCAGCCCAGCCCGAGCTCTGCGCGCCGCCGCCACTGCAGTTCGCGGCCCCTTCGCCTCCGCCCGCCTTTCCCGCGGCTGATTTGCCTTAAACTCCCTAAAATCTCCGCAGCCCGGGTTCCTGCTGCGGCGGGTGAGTATTTGCCAGTTGTGGGGCTATTTGCGCAACTTTGGCCCGGGCCTGAGGGCGGCGGGCCGCGGGCCTGGCGGAGTGCGGGGCCAGAGGGGCGCCGACCCGTGCGGGAAGCCGGAGCAAGGCGGAGGCGCTGGGAGGAACTGGAGACCGGCGGCTGCTGGGCCGCCTGCTCTATGTCGGCGCTCCAGGTCCCGAGCGTGCGGCCTCCCTGGGTGGGAGGCGAAGCCCGGGTGGAGAGTAGTTACCAAATAGTTATCATCTTTTCCCTTTCTTTCTCTGCCTTTATTTTATTTTTTTTAAGGGGGGAGGGGAGGTGTAGACGGGAGGCGGGAGGACCCGGTTGATTGACGGGCCCAGGGCCCGCTTCTCTCAACTTACAGCTGCGGCTCCTCGGCGGGTGGGAGGGGAAGTGTCCCGGAGCCCGAGGCCGCAGACTTGGGCGCGCTCCGAGGGAGGAGGCATAAGAGCCTTGCAAATTCTCCTACGCGCCTTCCCACCCGCTCTCGCCGGCACACACGCTTTTTTGTTCAGTAAAAAGTGGTAGGTCTGGGTATTGGGAATTTTCAGTGGGAAAGATCTGTTTCTTGGGAAGAAAGTGCTTTCGCCTCCAGTGGTGGCCGCTTACTAGAAGTTTGGTTAGTTTCGGTGAATGTGTTGTTGGTTGTAGATCCGGAGTTGTTGCCACTGGAGTGTGTAGGCATGGGTCTGACTGAGCTGCGCTCCGCTCTGTCTCCCCTTCCACCTAAGCAACGCGTCCACATGATCTGAACGGTTGACAAGACGTTTTCCTAGTTGGGCGCGTCTGGAAGAGGTTGATAAAAGTCGTTGTTTTCAGTGCTTTAAGGCATTTGTATGTCGTGATAATGTTCCTAAGTCGAGTTTCAGCATACATGCAGTTTCAGGTACATGCAGATTCTGCGTTGGCCAAAGTGTATTTTCATACCGTATTACGACGGGAACAATTTTCCCATTGATACTTGAACCCAAAGGAGCCGTCCGAGGCTTTTTGAGGCAACTTAGAATCAATTTCTTGAGTGAAGGTCGAGGCACTCTAAGGCAAATTTGTTGAAGGTTGCAATATGACAACTTCAAAGCACTCATGATTTGCTTTGAAACGAAGAAATTAGATTCTGTGGAATCTTATTGGTAAAATTGGACATGATCTGGAGAAACGGGAGATTTGTAGATATAGGAAGATGAAGCCTGACTGATGGCAAGCCATCATTTGCTCAGAATTAAATCTTATTTTGAATCACTTGCTAAGTATCTAAGTCTCAGTAAAACTGAATGGCTTTGAGAGCCAGATGGGGCGTCCTCCTCTTACACAGAAGAAACTGAAGCATAGTGGAGGTGAAATGCTTTTCTCCAAAGGTTAATAAACAGAAAATATACAGGAAGCCTTCAGTTAACACACTGATTTTTATAGTAGGATTTCTTCATTAAGACCAAATTTTCCTGCTATTCAGTAACTCAGGCCACGCAGTCTATTTCTTTCCACCTCTAACATGATGGCGTACTCTTTAGGTGTTTTTTTTTTTTTTTTTTTTTTTTTTGAGGGGGTGAGGAGGCTAGTGCATCATTGTCAGAGAAGAGAAACCATGTTTTAACCAGGACCTTAGCAGGGCATGAGCACAGTCACAGCCATTTGCTATTGACCTTGTGTTTTGATTTCACTTTAACACTGCTTATTTTTGTACTGCTTCCTCATTCTCCTCTTCTGCCAGGCTATGGGGAAGATAGTGGACCTTTTTCAAAGTGTCTCCATGTTCTTTGCAGCATCATTTCTCTTTAAATGTGCAGGAGAAGAGAAGTGCCTGCTTTCAGGCCTGTCCTTCTCTGGCCAGGAAAGACATTAAGTCTTCACTGTTGACCTTCTGGCCCAAAGGGGAAGAAACCATTTGGGACAGAAATTCAGAAATTTTTCCTTAGCTTTTTACTTTATGTTTTCTCTTGATATTTTCTTCTTGTGCCAGTACCTTTTATGATAGATTGCTTTGTAATTTTTCTTATATTCTAATGTGAACCAAGTCAAGTGTTATTCATGTCTATTTTTTCCTCAAAATGGAAATACTTTTTTAAAATTATAAAATACATACTCTTTGTAAACATTCGATCTATGCTGAAATACATAAAATACAAAAATGAAAGTTATTCTGACTCCCACTCCTCAGAGATAATCACCAGGAACAGTCAATTCCTTGTTTTAAAAAGGAAAGAAGGCAACATTTGATCATAGCTGTGCTGCTGCATGCGCCTTACCCTGCCTAAGGATGGCCTGTCATGATTCATGGGCTCATGTTCTCTGTTCACTGCTTGAGTTGGTGAGAATTGCCAGGTAGGGAAAAAGGGAGTGTTTTGAATTGAGCTGATTTTAAATTCTATGATCAAGTAGCAAACATGAGAGTTTAGACTTATCAGAGTTGCTATCTTCGCTTTGTTCTCCTGAAGTGTACCTTGGTGGGTGGGTTCTCACACTTTTTTTTTTTTTTAATTTTATCTAGTCTCTGATGGATTGTTTTATCCAAGCCAAATGCATTAAAACAAGACAAACCCCTCACATGTAGAAAGTTTCTTTATTTATAGTTGGGTATGAGTGGGTGTAATTGGGATAAAGACCACTCCCAATGTATCCCTGTGCTGATGTGGATGATGGAGGTTCCACATACCTCTGGATGAAGGTATCCAGAGATTGAATTTTGAATATTACGGAAAGGAAATGAGAAGAAAGAGGGAGAAGTTAGTAGTCTGTTTTCAGGTATGGCATGAGAAGGACCGATTGGGGAAGGGTGGATGGGACTCAAACCTGAGTGCTACTAATAATTGGCATCTTGGCATATATTTAAGGTAGAGACTTGTAATGAACTTACATTTTGGCATATATAGTTATTTTTACATTAACTGTAGGAGATATTAGTCAAAGTACAGAATCACTCCTTAGCCTGGTGTATTGAAGAATAACCTATGAAGAAGTTGTTTTGAAAACAAAGACCCAAGATAGTTCATATCAGTTATTTGAGGGTATTGGGAACATGTTTTGTTTTTTAAACACTACTTTGTCTTTGAATTTATAACTGTTTTAAAATAAAATGTGAAAATTAAAGAAATAGTTGCCGAAATTTTCTGTTGTATATGTAAGATAGATGTATTTTTTTTTCTTTTTTAGAAATAACTGAAGAAGGTCCATCTCCACTTTAAAATTCTAGTGTTTGGGGAGGACATTCTATAGTGGGCAGCAAGAATCTGGTTAGGGAAAAGGCAGGGCATTCTGCCTGCCTGTAAGATGGAGCAGTATGAGAATGATGCGAACTTTTGGATTTGTAAAAAAGGGAGATTCTGAGAAGCTTAGAATGTTCCAAAAGAGCAGTGTGGTTGATAGTTATGTCCAGAAAGTGTTGGTTGGCTTACAGAAACTGTAACTTAGAACTTTTACTTACAAGACAAGCAGTTTGGGGTAAATCAACCACAGGACTTGTTTCTTCATTCACAAAATGAGGGTAATAAAAATACCTATCTTGGGGGCTGGGGTTGTAACTCAGTGGTAGAGCGTTTGCCTGGCATGTGTGAGGCACTGGGTTTGATCCTCAGCTCCACATAAAAATAAGTAAGTAGGGGCTGTAGCTCAGTGGTAGAGTTCTTGCCTACCATGTATGGGATATTAGGTTCAAGCCTCAGCACCACAACATAAAAATAAATAAAGGCATGCTGTCCAACTATCAAAAAAATTAATTAATTAATTAATTAAAAATAAATAAGTAAAATAGAGGTATGTGTCCATCTACGATTAAAAAATATTTTTTATAAAAACTCTATTTTGGGTAGTTGTGAGAATTAGTTGTATAATGCATGAAAAATGATCTGTAAATTGTCAGCCATGTGACAAAGCAAAAAGTTGGTAAGCAAAATAAAACTTAACCTACTTCAACAATTATTCATCCAAAAACCATCAAATATCAACTAAATGTCAGGCAACTGGAGGCTTAGAGGTTACAGTAATGACTAAGACAGTGTTCTAAACCTTACAATAAAGCAGAGGAACTAAATAATTATAATACCTACCTTAAGCGCAGTATAGATGTAGCATCCAGTTTAGAAGATAAATTTTTGGCCACCCTATGGTTGTATGTATACAGAGTTTGGGAAGCATAAAAGAGAGTGTTCTGCCTCTTCCTGGGATCAGAAAGAACTCCTCAGAGAATGTGAGCTGGACATGGAAAAGATTCTAAGCAATAGTGTGAAGGTAGGAATGCTTTCACGGTGTTAGGTGATTTGGGATGAAGGAAAATCTTAAAATAGATTTATGACTTAAAATGGAGTTAAGTTTAAGCTTCTTAACTTTTTTTTTAATAGTTTTTAGTCGTCAGTGGATCTCTTATTTATTTATATGCATTGTTGAGGATTGAAGCCTGGGCCTCACACATGCCAGGTGAGCACTCTAGCACTGAGCTCTAGCACTCTAGCTACTCCAGCTCCTAAGCTTCTTAACTTTTATGCTAATCTTTATTGGTTTCATTTCATTGAATTTCGTGCCCCACCATTCTGGGGACTGAATTCTGGGGTGCTCTACCACTGAGCTGTATCCCTACCCCTCTTTATTTTTTGAGACAGGGTCATCCTTTACTCTCAAATGATTCATAAAGAACAAGAATTAGACCTCTAGGTCTTGTTTATTTTGAGAGAAGGTCTCACTAAGTCGCTGAGGCTGGCCTTGAACTGGTGATCCTCCTGCCTCCAAGTAGCTGGGATTAGAGTGGTGTGCCACTATTTTCACCTTCATTTTGTTGAATTTTAATTAGGAGTGTGGTTAGAATTATACACAAACTAGTGGCTGGGATTGTGGCTCAGAGGTGGAGCGCTTGCCTAGCATGTGTGAGGCACTGGGTTTGATCCTCAGCACCACATAAAACTAAAATAAAGGTATTGTGTCCATCTATGACTGAAAAATAAATGTTAAAAAAAAAAAGAATTATGCACAAACAAAAAACACTGGGGCCACAGAGTTGAAAAGTGTTGAATGTGTAAGATTTCCTAAAAGAAGGAAACTGGTGATCCCTGCCATCATTGCTGAGATCTACCTTACTGGTTCTTCATTCAGTAACTGTTCACTGAATAGTTGTGTTCCACATAAAGGAATAAGCCAAAGTCCTTGCCTTCAAGTTGCTCACAATCTACTGAGGCATACCAATACATATGTAATTGTAGCCAGTTCCTATTTAGCACTTTGTGACTGACATGCCTATGGTAACTCTAAAAGCTACCATCCCTTCACAGTTGAAGAAAGAGGCACAAATTGGGAGAGCAGCCTACTCAAGGTCACACCTAATAAGTGGCCGATCTCAGGCCATCTGGTTAATCAGTACTTTAATGCCCACTATATATATTGCTATTCTAATTATTAAAATGTAAAGTGCAAAATAAAGTGATAATACACAGTTAAAAATGGGAGAGGAAGTTATAAAATGCTTTTAGGAGGAGGTAGTAACCTCTAATATGTGGGAGGGTCATACAGCAGAATCAATCAGCCTCAGTAAAACTGGAGGTAAGACATGAAGTCCTGTATATTAAGGATGCCTGGCCACAAGCAGTACTCTATTGCTTGAATTTTGAAGTTTGAATTAGGAAGCAGCCACAGATGGGTGGGCACAGAGGGTCTTGTATGCCTTGCCAAGGAGTTATATGGCCTGGGGATATGTGAGGGGGCACCTATAGCAGGAGAATGGCAAGGTCTAATTTTATTCTTTGTGAATCATCTGAGAGTGAAGGATGTATTTGAGGAGCACATTAAGGAACCCATTACAATAACTCAGGATTGATAATAGAGGCCTCGCAAGGGCAGGGAAGGTAAGGGTAAACTAAAGGGCATATTTGAGAAATACTGAGTGGGAAAATTGGCAAGACTTGGTAAATTGATTGCCAGAAGTTCCAGGTAATTTGTAAGTAGCCTGGGGGTGCACAGTGGTGGCAACTGAAACAGAATGCAGGGGGAGGAGCAATTTTAGGTGGGCCTCAGACAAAGTCTGAGTGCATAAAGTGAGTACTTTGGAATGGGTAGGAATCCTACAAAATGAACCCTAAGAGTGAATACAAATGCCATGTGCAAAAAGGGACTTCCTGGTAAAACCACTTTTAGTGGAGAAAAGCCAACTGTTTATGCAGTGCCCTCTGGTGGTCAAAATATGTTATGCTGCCTCTTCAAGATGAAGGATGAAAGTGTAGAAACTGCCTGGATTAAATACTTTACTCCTGGAGGAAAGAGAATATTTTAGAAGCCACTGTTTCCTCTGCCTTTGGGTTGAATTGATTTCCTAGACCTGCAATTCGGTTGAACTACAAAGGTATTTCATAAGTTATTTGGTTGGCAATCTTACCTAATCCCTGTCATGAAGCAGAAGGCGGCAATTTGAGTGCCTATCAACAAAGTACAGAAATTGAAATTTGTATGTGTGTGTGTGGGGGGGTGCTAGGGATTAAACTTAGGGGTGCTTAACCAATGAGCCACATCCCCAGCCATTTTTAAATTTTGAGAAAGGATCTCACTAAGTTGCTTAGGGCCTTGCTAAATTGGTGAGGCTCACTTTGAATTTGTGTTCCTCCTGCCTTAGCCTCCTGAGCCACTGGGATTACAGGCATGGACCACTAAACCCAGTTAGGGATTGAAAACATATCTTTACTCCTGGAGCCCTTCCCTAGGTTCTCACAGAAAATTAATTTATTATAAATTGAGTTTCAATGAGTTTTTGTCTTGTTTCACAGCCTATAAGAGACTGAAATGGTGAACAGAAGGAGGTCAGCATACCTTTTAGAAGTAACAGCTGTTGGCTTGACAAGGGGACAGAAAAATACCAGCAAACCAACCAACAAACCACCATCTCCAAAAGCAGGTGTAGGTATAAACAAACTTTGCAAATTTCACCAGCTCCTGCACCTCAGCAAAACATAATTGATGTAGAGAACATAGTCAGGTGGTGCTGTGTGTGGAGCTGCAGTTAGAGTAGCGAAGAACTCTAGACCAGGACTGAAGAGACCAGGGTTATCCTGACAACCACTAAACCTACAAATGGCTGTGAGCATATCACTTGGTTTGCTTTGTGGGCCTCTAGAATAGTAGATTGAACCTGTCATTTCATAAAATTTTATAAAATGTGCAATGATGACATTAATAATTTTTAAAAATTGGATTATGCTTGGATTGAAAAGGCAAAAAAATTTGCCATCTCTAGTTTATATAAGAGTTCTTTGATGAGTATTAATTATGCCAATTTTATAGTTGAGAAAAGTAGAACTAGAGAGATAAAAAAGTTTCCTCATACCTACATAAGTTGTAGAGCTGGTATTCAAATCTAGTAGGGTGTGCTTCCTGGGCTTTTAAAAAAATTCCTTCATTTAACAAGCTATACTAAGTGCCAACTATGTGAGAAGAGTGTGCTAGACACAGGAACACCCAGGCTGTTAAGCTTCGGCCCTGAACTTGAGGGTTCAGAATAGTGGGCATTACTATACCAGACTGTTCCTTGGGTCTCTGTCAGTGCTAACGATACAAGTAATACTTCAGCATTGTTAGCATTAATGTACAGCTGAGTTGTGTTTTTAAAAGACTTGAGGGTGTGAACATGAAACCAAGCTACCATTTATAGCATTGTTTCTATGGGAATATGTGTTTTAGGTTCCAAATAACTTAAAAACAAGTTTTGGAACATAACCCAATTATAATTTCAGAACTTCCTGTACTGAGTACTGAATTTGGAATTTAATAACCAGCCAGAATGTTTGTCTAAATAGTGAATAAGTTTTTCTAATAATTTTTCTAATAAATTTTTCTAATCATTTAAATGGCTTAAAGTAAAACATTTTATCTTTAGGACCCTCTACAACTGGTTATTCCCAGAAGTTTCAAGGAGAAAACCTAAAGAATTTAATCAGTTTCAGAGATTGAACTGTATACCCTGGAAAATGGTATTCAAAGAAAAAAACTTTTGCTGATGCGATATTCTTTTAGGTGGCAAAATCTCTAAGGTTGTGATCTTAGACTGGAGAGTTATATTGCTTGTGCTCTAATCCAAAGAAGTTCTCTCTTTATGGCATACATGCCATACTATATGCCTCTGTCTTGGTCAGTTTTTCATTACCATAATAAAATAACTAAGACTGGGTTATTTATAAAGAAAAGTTTATTTAGCTCACAATTTGAATGCCAAAGATCCTAAGAGCATAGCACTGGCTCTGGTAAAGTCACCTCTTGGCTAGATCATATGTTGGGAGTGAAGGATATATTTGAGGAGCACATTAAGGAACCCGTTACAATAACTTAGGATTGATAATAGAGGCCTCACAAGGGCAGGGAAGGTAAGGATAAAATAAAGGGGCATATTTGCTTTCTTTATAACAGACTCCCTCTTAGGAGCTACCTGGTCTTAATCCTTTCCAAGGGTGGTGCTACCAGTGATCTTATGTCCTCCTACTAGGTACCACATCTTAGGGCTGGGGCTATAGCTCAGTTGGTAGAGTGCTTGCCTTGCAGGCCCAAGGCCCCGGGCTCAATCCCCAACACCACCACAAAAAAAAGGTACCATGTCTGACAAGGCTTCCAGCACGTGCACTACTTTTGAACACACTTAAATCGCATCCAAACCATAGGAACCTCTGTTTCTTTAATCTAGTTTTTTTAACCTATGTATGTATATGTAGTATGTGTTGAGATAAACACACACACAAATATCTGCCTAGAGCAGAGCCTGACATTATAGTAAGGCTTAACAAATATTAGCTATTCATTTTATTATTGTATTATAGTTGTCATTTACCACACCTCACATCCTTCACCTTCCATTTATAAAGCAAATCTACCTTCCTTTCCATTCAAACTATTATATAGTCCCCCCCCCCAACTATTTATATACATACCTATGCAAATACCAGAAATGTCTTTCCCTTGCTCTCTGTTTTTCTCCACTTACCCCTTTGTCAAGTTTCCACTCAAATCCTACATCCTTCCTAAAGCCTAATGTTCTGGTATAATTCATGCTTTTCTCCTTCTAAACTCTTGCTGTATTTTAGTCAATATAATTTAGTTAGCATTTAGTTGTTCTCAAATTGCTTTTTAGTTTCAAATTTAATCCCTCATATATAATTAGCTCAGCTATACACCATCTTTCTGCACCCCCATGCTTTATACAGTGTTAGGAACACAGTAGGTGTTCAATACATTCTGATATTCTAATTATAAAACATGAGGGAACCCTTTCATTACATTTTAGGCTTCCATAAAAGGTAATCTTGGGCTGGGGTTGTGGCTCAGTGGTAGAGCACTCACCTAGCATGTATGAGCCCTGGGTTCCATCCTTAGCACCTCATAAAGATAAATAAATAAAGGTATTGTATCCATCTACAACTAAAAAATATTTTTTAAAAAAGTAATCTACAGTCCTTAATTAAATCCATACACATACATTCGATCTTATAAGACACAGAAATAGGTAAAAGGAGAGTAAAGTATATACAAGTTCAAGTTGTGTATCCCATATCTGAAATGCTTGGAACCAAAATTGTTTCAGCTTTCAGACAGAATTTTCCTGGATTGTAGAATATTTTTATGACTTTTATTGGCATGTTAATACTTTAAAAATTTTAGATTTTGGAACATTTGGAATTTGGGGATTAGGTATGTTCAACCTGTACTTAAATAACCCTTTGAGATCTGGAGGTAACTGTAATAGGTGTAGAGATGGGGTGTTGAATTGGGAGTCTGGTGCTAGGCCCTCCTCCAGACTTTCCTGAGGCTGTGCAAATCATCCTTAAGTTTCTCAGTGGTAATGCAAGTCTGTGTCACAATTTGGAATTATTATTTGCCTTACAGAAGGAGACACTTCAAAATTACTTTAAGTTACTTTATTTGCTTTACATGCTTTTTTGTAGACCCTTTTCATTTATCCAGTGATGGGGCCAAAGATGTCATCACCCTCATTTCACATTGCAAAAAGAAAGGTTATGTGCCTGGCACATAGTAAGTACTCAGTGTACTGACTGTGATGTCTGCTTATAAAGAAATCTGAAAATAGGTAATCCAGTGATACTATTATTTCCAATTTAAGAGATTTAGCCATGGAGGGTAAGTGTTTTTGAAATCTTAGTGTCAATAAGAAATTTACTGAAACAGCTTACATAGTATATCTTAGGGAACACATCTGTTGAATAAGACTAAGTGGACAAATGCAGGTAAAATCACATTACAAATAGTGTTCAGAATGGGGGTGGTCACTTGTGCAGTAGCACATAGCCAATAAACTCTAAGCCCCACGCCCAGTCTTTGTTAGTGTTCTTTGCAGAGGGCCACACCTCATAGTTCCAAAGAAGTGTTTAGTACCATCTAGGTAGACTGGAGTCCTTGTTTTATAGTCCTGCTACTTACTTCACCACAGCTAACTATATCCTGAGAGATATGGTTTAGTGGCCCTAGATTGTTAACCTTCTTTTATAAAATAAGAATTTGGACTTGGAGTAGATCTTTTTAAGCTCTACATGTCTGTGACTATCTAAATTACTTAATATGTTTAATGTGTTAGCTGTTTTTGAATTTGAGATGAGCTGGAGCTAATAATAGCTTTTCAAATCAAAATCTTAAAAATCCAGCATAATTTTTTAATTTTTAAATTCTTGCTGAAGTACCACACATTGGGTATCCTAGCCTTAGGGGAGCAGTCCTTATCCAAAAAACATGAAGTCCTTTGAATCACACTTGAATGTTTTGCTGTCAGCCCAGCCTTTGACTTCTAGCTGTGATAAACTTGTTTTTCCAGTGATGCAGCTAAGTAACACAAACAAAAGCAACTACAGATTTCAGTCATAAAAACAGGAGCAACTGAAATATAAGCAATACTTTTATGTGAAACTTTCTATAGGTTTTACTATAAGAAAGTTCACTAAGTTTTTTTTAATACCATCATTAAAGAGGGTCAGAATATTGAAAAAGAGATCAAACTTGGGATTCGAGTGAAGTTGTTTTTTGTGGATTTTATTTATTTATTTTGATAATTGAATCCAGGGGTACTCTACCACTGAACTACAACCCCAGTCATTTTTATTTTTGAGACAGGGTCTCACAGAGTTGCTGAGGCCAGCTTCAAACTTGTGATCTTCCTCCCCCAGTCTTCTGAGTCACTGAAATTATAGCTGTGCACCACTGCACTCAGCTGAAATTATTTTGTAATAAAAGCAAAAGCACTGGGCTAAGGATGTGTAGCTCAGTGGTAGAGTGCTTACCTAGTGTGTGTGAAGCCCCTAAGTTCAATTCCCAGCACCCCCAAAAAAGTGAATGCATTATAAAAAATGTAATGTAAAAGAGATTTAAGGATTAGATCCCTCATCCTCCATACCTACTTTTTTTTTTTTTTTTAATGTATTAAGCCTTCTTAAAGCTTTTCTGAATGAGAGAGAACAAGAATACAGTTGCTGGTACAATGTAAATTACAGCTATTAGAAGTTATTCTACCTAAGATCAGTTTTACCCAGAACTTGGACAATTGCTTAATACCATTGCTTAAACTGTAGGTCAGCCTAGAAATTGGTTAGCACCAAAAATTAGACAGCCCTTGTTCAGCTTCCACCTCTATGATGAGAGAGAATGTAGACAGACAGATGGAGGCAAGGGATTCATACCCATTTAAACCCAGAGCCCTTGTGTTCTACTACAGCATGATGCCTTCTTCCATAGAGTAGGAATTTTACTCAGTTCATGTTGAATGAAATCACTAATTTAGAAACTGTCAAAATTCTCAGTGATCTAACCTTGAGATTATGGAATGCCTATGCTATTGCTCATTTCAGTACTTAATAGTGCCTGGTCCACCAAAGGTATTCAGTAAAATTTTTGAATGAATAAATATACATTAAATACTATAAGTACCATTATTTGTTTCAGTGTTTTGTTTATGTTAACACAGAATGTATTTTTACTACTTTGATTGAGTAGTGATTATAGCTTCAGATGTCATATGTAATTGGACTTACATGTAGTTGTATTAATTTGAATTAATGGCCATAAAACTGCTTTTCATACGGATAAGAGTTCTTGGAACTCTTTATCTTTATTTCAAGTGTGGACTATTTAATGCCTGAAAGTTGTTATAGATTTATAGCTTTCTAATGGACTGTATTATTTAGAAGGAAACTTTAAGATTATCTACTTAGACTTACTTCCTGATGCTTAAGTAAGCATTACCACTGCTGTGACAGTAGTTACTGTTACTTCCATTAACTGATTACCTGCCAAGCACTATACATTTTATACGCCACCTCTGTGAATGCTTATTTTAATGTTATTTGAGGTGTTATCCCCACCTTGAAACTAAGGGTGAACTAGGAAAGCAAGTTAAAAACTCTTAGTTAGATTGGAACCCAGGTCTGACGGATTCAAGGTTTGTGCGGATTCAAGGTTTGTGCTCATTTCACTGTAATATCCTCAATAACATTTTGCTTCTTCTTTAATTTGGGTGCTTATTATCCTCCAAACAGGTTTGTTTAATTTTTGAACAACTCTTATTACTAGAAAGTAATTTTTTTCAATCCTTCTACTTTGTTTTCATTCAGGGTCTCTCCAAATCCTACAAAAATGACTGTACACTAGAAATCTCGCCCTACTTAAATGAGCTTGGGTCCCACATTTTTGTAGATTTTTTTTTTAAAAAACTTTTGAATAAGACTGTATTGTTTGGATTTGTTTTATATAATTCTAATTGTAATAGAATTTTGTACTTTGTTTACTTCATTCTCCATCCTAAAAAAATTTCTCACTTCTGTTGTCTTCATTCAAAAATACAATTTTTGAAAGTCAGTGAATTTTAAGAGTGAATCTAGGGAGTAGACTATTCACTAAAAATTCCCTTTTTATCAGGCACCCAAATTATAAATAACATATTGATGAGCGTCTTTGGCATAAACTGCTTCTGTATTTAGATCCATGGAAAACAGGAGTCCTCATGGTTTGGTACAGATTTTCAAGTTACAGTGGTTTGAAATATCATACCTACTTGATACACCTGATCTGGTTTCCAGAAGGCATAGTGGTTGCCATTTTAAGAAGGCAGCAGATGTCATCACCTTCATTTCACACTACAAAAGCAAAACTATGTGTTTGACACATATAGGAAGTACTCAGTATGCCATGCATGTATGCTTACAACAAATCTGAAAATATGTAATCCACACTCACAGAGTTCCCTACCCATGGAACTCTGGCTTTAGGCAGGGAAATAGGAAGGAAGATGTAATTTAGGCCTGTAGGGGGAAAGGGTATGTAATCCATATTTGATCTATGAGGAACAGATAAAAGCAAGAAGAAAGTAAGTAAATTTAGATACTCTTAATTACTATAGCAGGGATCAAAGAGTTTGGGGACTGAAGAGTGAACATTTATTTCTCTGAACAGCTTGTTTAAATGTTCTTTTTAAGTTCAGTAAAATTGCGTAGGAATTTTTTTAGTAGCAGATACATTCTGAACCTTTATGTATACAGATTAAAATTTGAGGCTAAAATTGGATCTTATTTAGGCCTGGGGATTTAGGTCAGTGTTAAAGCACCCCTGGTTCAATCCCTACTACCCAAAACAAAACCAAAAATATACAAAAATAGAATTTTACTTTTCTCCCAGCTTCAATAGTTATCAACACATAGCCAATTTTGTATCATATATAGTCCCTTCACCCACTTCATTCATCTTGAATATCTCATTTCATCTACAAACACTTCAATACATATATATAAAAGATAAAGATTTTTAATAGTTATATTATACTTGAGATATAGGCGTACTTTTTAATTTTTTAAAAATAGATCAGCGAGTTATATTTTTTTATCATACTAAGTCCTATAATGGCAAAGCATATCTTTTTAAATTAGTTTTACATGACAGTAGAATGCATTTGATATGTCATACATAAAGGGAGTATAACTTTTCATTCTTCTGATTGTACATTATGTAAAGTTACACTGGTTGTATAATCATATATGCACATACACTCATTTTTAACAATCAAAAAACCCTTATCACACTTAAATGAGCAATAGTTCCTTAATGTCAATCATCTAAGAAATTTTTAATAATAATCTGGTTACTAATGTTCAGATTAATCTTTTATTTCTTTTGTTGTTCATTTCCTTCAAGTACTCCATTCTAAATCTTGAAAATTTTCCCACTTTTTTCTGTTATCTTCATAAATATAGTTTTTTTTTTTTTTTTAAAGAGAGAGTGAGAGGAGAGTGAGAGGAGAGTGAGAGAGAGAGAGAATTTTTATTATTTATTTTCCAGTTCTCGGCGGACACAACATCTTTGTTGGTATGTGGTGCTGAGGATCGAACCCGGGCCGCACGCATGCCAGGCGAGCGCGCTACCGCTTGAGCCACATCCCCAGCCCCATAAATATAGTTTTTGAAAGCCAGTGCATTTTAAAAGTAAAGGGAAAAAGAATGTCATTTTTCTTTTCATATTTAATGTATACATTTTTCCTGAAACCAAAATTAAGGTTTTTGTTTTTGATGACTTTTTTTAATATGGGAAACCTGAATAAATAGCTGTTTTCATTTTCAAACTTAAAAAATTATTCATAATGTATTAGCAGGTTTTACTACATTAGGGTGGAAATCTATTCATACCTTGAATGTAATAGCAGTCAGACAAGTCTGAAATAATGGTAAAAATTATTTTAATGCTTTTCTTATATCATCTGACTTAATATTTTTGTTTTACATAGGTCTCTAATTAATAGAAGATGGCAAAACCCAGCCACAGCAGCTACGTTCTTCAGCAGCTAAACAACCAAAGAGAATGGGGTTTTCTCTGTGACTGTTGTATTGCAATTGATGACATTTACTTTCAAGCCCACAAAGCCGTTCTAGCTGCCTGCAGCTCCTATTTTAGAATGTTTTTCATGAACCATCAACATAGTACTGCACAACTGAATCTCAGCAATATGAAAATTAGTGCTGAGTGTTTTGATCTCATTTTGCAATTTATGTATTTAGGAAAAATTATGACAGCTCCCTCCAGTTTTGAGCAGTTTAAAGTGGCAACGAACTACCTACAGCTGTATAATGTTCCTGACTGCTTAGAAGATATACAGGATGCAGATTGTTCTAGTTCAAAATGTTCATCTTCTGCTTCCAGCAAACAGAACAGCAAAATGATATTTGGAGTAAGAATGTATGAAGACACTGTGGCTAGAAATGGAAGTGAAGCCAATAGGTGGTGTGCAGAGCCAAGTTCAACAGTAAATACACCACATAATAGAGAGCCTGATGAAGAATCTTTACAATTAGGTAATTTTCCTGAACCACTATTTGATGTATGTAAAAAAAGTTCTGTGTCCAAATTATCTGCTCCAAAAGAACGTGTATCGAGACGCTTTGGACGGAGTTTTACCTGTGACAGCTGTGGATTTGGCTTTAGTTGTGAAAAATTATTAGATGAGCATGTGTTGACCTGTACTAACAGACATTCATACCAAAACACAAGATCTTACCACCGAATAGTAGATATTAGAGATGAAAAAGACAGTAACATCAAAGCTAAATTTGGTGAAAAGGATTCTTCTAAAACATTTTCTGCACAGACCGACAAATACAGAGGAGACACAAGCCAGGCTCCTGATGATTCAGCTTCAACCACTAGAAACAGGAAAAGTAGCACAGTGGAGTCTGAAATAGCCACTGAAGAAAAAAGCAGAGCTGCTGAGAGGAAAAGAATCATTATCAAGATGGAGCCAGAAGATATTCCTACAGATGAGCTGAAAGATTTTAACATTATTAAAGTTAATGATAAAGACTGTAACGAATCCACTGACAACGATGAATTGGAAGATGAACCCGAAGAGCCATTTTATAGATACTATGTTGAAGAAGACGTCAGCATTAAAAAAAGTGGTAGGAAAACTCTAAAACCTCGGATGTCAATAAATGCTGATGAAAGAGTTGGTTTAGAAAATATGAGACCCCCTAACAACAGCAGTCCAGTTCGAGAGGATACTGAAAATGCATCTTGTGAGCTGTGTGGACTCACAATAACTGAGGAGGACCTGTCATCTCATTACCTAGCCAAACACATTGAAAATATCTGTGCATGTGGTAAATGTGGACAAATACTTGTCAAGGGTAGACAACTTCAGGAACATGCCCAAAGATGTGGAGAACCACAAGATCTGACAATGAATGGGTTAGGAAATACTGAGGAGAAAATGGACATGGAAGAAAATCCTGATGAGCAGTCTGAAATAAGAGATATGTTTGTTGAAATGTTGGATGATTTTAGGGACAGTCATTACCAGTTAAACAGTATCCAAAAAAAGCAGTTATTTAAGCATTCCGCCTGTCCTTTTCGATGTCCTAACTGTGGCCAGCGTTTTGAAACTGAAAATCTAGTGGTTGAACATATGTCTAGCTGCCTAGACCAAGATATGTTTAAGAGTGCCATCATGGAAGAAAATGAAAGAGATCACAGGCGAAAGCATTTCTGTAATCTGTGTGGAAAAGGATTTTATCAGCGGTGTCATTTAAGAGAACACTATACTGTTCATACTAAGGAAAAACAGTTTGTTTGTCAGACATGTGGAAAGCAGTTTTTAAGAGAACGTCAGTTGCGTCTGCACAATGATATGCACAAAGGCATGGCCAGGTATGTCTGTTCCATTTGTGATCAAGGAAACTTCAGAAAACATGACCATGTACGGCATATGATTTCTCATTTATCTGCTGGTGAGACTATATGCCAGGTCTGCTTTCAGATATTCCCAAATAATGAACAATTGGAGCAGCACATGGATGTTCATCTGTATACATGTGGAATATGTGGAGCAAAATTTAATTTGAGGAAAGATATGAGATCACATTATAATGCCAAGCATTTGAAAAGAACCTAAGTGATTTTCTACTGTACTAATGTCTAGTTGATAGCAGACAAAACACCAAAGCAAAAAGGATATGAGCTATTTAGAAATTGATTTTATAAGATGAATTGTTTTAAAAAAATTCAAGTCCCTTTTATCTTTAATATTTTTGTTTAGGATATTAAGTTTCTACATTTTAGGCGTTAAAATGTTTTTATCATTTTTTGTTGTTTCTAATAGCATTCTTTGTTTCTAGTTTTCTTAGCTTGGATTTAAATTACTTTTACATGTAGATGATAAGTGGCTGTTACCCCTTCAATGACTATTAAACTTTAGTTTTTTTTATCAATAAGGTGATGACTTCACTATTTTTATGTTTTTTTTTTTAAGGTTATCATGTGAAATTTAAAACCCAATATGATTGGCCATTCCTGTTTAAATTTTAGAAAGTATTTATTTCAAACTGCCCTATTTCACTGTTAGCATTTTTTTCTTTTTCTTTTTTCTTTTCCCAGTTGAACAGTGGGTTAGCTACTGTTTATTCTCCCTTATTATCAATGAAATTCATATTCTTAAATTGACAAGCTTATTAGGCAAGTTAGGTGCACTGAATCTAACCTTTAAGGTTGACATGGGCTCAAACTTGGCCTAAAAAGATTGATGGACCTGAGGAAATTCCTATAAATGAACATTTCCTATAACTGATAAAATATTATCATTTAATAATCACATTAAAAACTTATATTAAGTGTAAATCCCAATGGCTTTCCCTCACTTGTGAAACTTGTGGGGATAAGCCATTTTGTTTTATGATATTAAATTTAACTATGATAGTTAATTAAAAAGACATCTTGTATTCATTAAAAATATTTTTAATTTAAAATATTCTTGATTTTCTAAAGTGTGTTAGTTTACCAATTATTTTTGTTTATAAATAGACTTTAATAGCGCTCTAGAAGTATGACATCTAAAGGAAAATATGATTTAAAATTACATACTTTTGGAACTTTGAGATTCAAGAAAGTTGCCATGTATATTGATAAATCTAATAAAATAAATCAATTATAAATCTGGTTGTTCTATAAAAGTAGAGTGCACAAAAAATGTGTTGTGTTTTATACTAAGATTTGGAGAAAATGTGTCGTGGCAAATTGCAGTTTATCACCATGCTTTATTATTATTTTCTGTAAAGGATACAAAATTTGAAGATTATAAAATAATCAACATATAAATGGAAATAGTTTATCATTTTCAATTAAAGTAGTTTGTTAGTTGTTATTGACCGAGGGTCTACATCATTTACATGTGAATTAAAACACTGGCAAACCTGACCCACCAATAAACACATCTACTGAATAGAATGCCTATTAATGTGAATTACTTGTAACATAATACCCTTCTTATAATTAAAAGGATTTTAGTTAACTCTCCTATATTTAAAATATAATTTTGTGATTATGAGCAATAGTTTAATGGCATTGCTTTTTGTTCACATCAGATTTTTAAATAAGTAATTTTTGTACAGTTTACATAAAAGAACAAGTTGAGAATTGAGAGATATATTGGCTAGTAAAGATTTAGTTGAAAGTAGTAGAGCAGTGTGAGTACAGAGACTTACAGGGATATGTTCAAATTGTTGAGGTTAGGAATAGCACAGGAGCCAGGGCAGAATTAATGTGAAGTAGAGAGGCACAAGAAGATAAAACAAGAAATCAAGAATATTTTTTTTAAAGCCACACAGTTAACAGAGAATGCAGGAAAAATGAGTTCCTCTTAGTCTTAGATTTAGTTGTTTATCAAATACTTAAATTGGAAATGCAACTTAAAATGAAATATAAGATGCATGTATATATATATTACTGTTAGGAACCTGATAACCAAAAGCTCTCAGAAAGTAGTGTAAAGAGATAAAATAAACCAAATTTCCTAACTACATGATATCTTAGTGAACATGATCTTCAGGGTCACTTTTTTCTACCCTCATCAAAATTTTTGTTGAAATGGCTTTCCCCACTATTGGGGTGGGGGTGGGGAGGGCTTTTTTCTAAATACTACCTCTTTGAAGAAAGGATTATTTGTTCCATTGGGGAGGGGTTGTGTGATTTTGTACTCTGCCATGTGCTAACAGCCAACAATTAGCAACCAAATATATAAACATTATCTTGATTTTACATGACTGAAATGTTTATAGTTTCACAAAGTCACACCTCATGATATTTTCTTCTTGTTTCATATGTCACAGGACACACTTGTTTTGGAATTAGCTACAGGGTAGTACAGGCTTCTCCAAGTGGAAAGTATAATTTTCCTTATCAAACAGTTCATTCAAAGGCTCCGTGGCTTTTAAAATTAAGGGAAGCTCTGCACAGTGACACATGCCTGTAGTCCTAGTGACTTGGGAGGCTGAGGCAAGAGGATGCAAGTTTGAGGCCAACCTCGGCAGTTTAGCAACTTAGTGAGACCCTGTCTCAAAATAAATAAAAAGCACTGGGGATGTAGTTGAGTAGAGCACCCCTGGGTTCAATCCCATATCAAAATAAAACAAAATTAGGGGAAATGAAAAATGCCCAACACCTTAGCCAGACTCAACTTCCTTTTACCTCCATCCTCTGTTAGCATGGAGCTAAAGAGCTCTAACTCCTTTGCTATTGCTTCTTGCTCTCCTGTGCTGTGAAGAGAATGAAGACTGGAAGTTGTCTGCTGTTCATAAAACACACGTCTTTAGGCTCCAAATTTTAAAAAAAGAAAAATCTAGATAGATGGAGTAGGATCTTGTTCCCGTTTCATCCTGACACCATTTTGTTTGAAAAGACCTTTTGTTCTTACCACTACCAATTCTTGGATTCCTTTTTTTCTTCCATACTGGGATTAAACCCAGGGGCACTTTACCACTGAGCTATATACCCAGCCCTTTGTAATTATTTTGAAGCAGGGTCTCACCAAGTTGCCCAGGCAGACTTTGAACTTGTCATCCTACTGCCTCAGCCTCCTAAGTAGGTGGGATAACAGACATGCACCACTGTGCCTGGCTAGTTTTTTGGATTTCTTTATGTGTAATGAGCAATCCCAGACTAAATTTTTTATCTTGTGGTGCTAGTGATCAAACCCAGTGCCTTGCAAGACATGTAGGCAAGTGCTCTAACACTAAGCTACATCCCCAGGCCTATTTTTTCTAAAAAGCAAGAAATCCTGGAGGAATAATCAGCTTTTAACAAACTTGCCACTAATTACAGTGCAATTTGGATGTTTTATAACTTTTTAGTAAATAAGACCCTCACACCCAGAGATTAATAAAACATAGCCAAGGCCATAGTAGATTAGGATTCAGAAGTTTGTCTTAATTTCCCATATTATTAAAGTAAAAATATTCAGAGAAACGAGCCATATGAGTAAGTGGTATTTGGCAAATGTTTTATTACTACAAAGTAATTAACAGTTTGTCTATGGACAAAAATTAAATTAGAAAAAAATCTTCCAGAGGGGCTAGTTACAATAATAAGAATTAAAATAAGGATGGTGTTTGCTAGAGCTGACACTAATTAAAAGGAAAAATAATGGGCAAGAAAGATGTTGTTCTGTAATTAAAAGCAAAAAAAATATGAATAGGATATAAAAATTGAAGTAAATAAAACATTTGAAAATTATAGGTGAGATGAATAGAGATTAAAATAAATTGATGAGATTAAAATAATTATAGGCTGCCTAACTGAATAAGAGTGATGTACATATCAAGGCTATGCCTGAATACTTGAGATACTTTTATATTCTAAACAATGGAAAGAGGCTGGTGATAGCTGGCAACTTCTCATTGGTAACACGATACTCAATCCTCTATATCACTACGAAACTTTTCCTACTTAATGTATCTCTGGAAAATCTGCCAAAGAACCAGTGTAACAGTTGTCAATATTTAAGTATAAAACTTGTCATTAACAAAAAGCTAAATAAGTACCAATAGAAAAAAACCTGGATATGTCTATGCATACATAGTTAAGAATAAATAAATTTGGTATATCTAATTTAACTGAGTTTTATTATGAATTAAAATTGAAATTTTTTTTTCCATTAATCTGTTTTGATCAGTCAACTTTCCTCACCATCCCCTTCTCCGTTGTAACTAATGCTTCCCAGGGATAAAATGCTAGTGCTCTGAAGGCATCCTAGCATCAACAACTTCTAGCATTGCAGAGCACCAAAAAGCTGTGGGAAAACATATCCTTGTAAGATTCTCCCTATATCCTTAATGTCTGAGGGTGACAGGTTGGATGGTAGGAAACTCAAGCAAGTGGAGTTATATTTGGTGTTTAGAACTTGAAGCTACATCACAGATTTGGAAATCCATTATCCATTCATAATAGGGTTCTCAATAATCCCAGTATCTATTTATTTAGGGCTATATACTCAAATGCTTTACATACATAATTTTAATTAAGCCTCACAGTCTTTTGAGGTAAGTATCATATACTAATTTTCTAGATAGGGGACCCAGGTCCAGAAGGGCTAAGTATGTTTCCTAAAATCACATAGAAACTATTAGACCTGGAGTTTGAATCTAGACCAAACTTTGCCTACATTACTATACTTAACCACTAAGCTACTTGCTCCACCTATCAAGAAGTACAAAGATGGGCCTTTTCAGGCTCATGTGATAAAGGTCCTGTGAGGCTGTGCTCCTTGTTCATCTCATCTGCAATGCCTGGTAAGGGGGCTAGTAATGGTACCTAATGAACATTCTGAGTAATGTGAAAATATGAGAATGGAAAACAAAATTTTATTTGAATGAGTCATTCAGAATGATGTTTTAGAAATAAATATTAAATGCTGATATGTTTTGATTTTCTTTCATTAAAACTTGAAACATTTAGTGGTATGTCAGCCATTTGTGGGGACCTGTGGTAGAAGTCAATTAAAAATTACTTTGAATTCAACTTATACATTTCTATGTCTGTGACTCCCCCCCTTTATTTTCTCTATTGCTGTCCTTTGTTTTAATCTCTTCCATCAATCTCCATTTCCTTTTATTTGTTTTGACACTGATGAGTTAAGAACTCATTTGAAAACAAATGCTCCCAAGAAAAAGCAGAATGACAGAATAACCAGTTTCCTCTTTTTGCCTTAACAGATGATGTGGATAAGAAAGTCATCATTTCTTTGATCAAAAAACAGAACACCCCTGAAAAGGGAGATACTGAGGGATGAAATTTACCAAATTATATTGTGTGCATATACAAATATGTAACAATGAATCCCACTATTATGTACAATTGTAATGCACCAATAAAAATATGAAAAAAACTCTCCCATTACTGTATTGTGATTGCTAAGATTTATAAAGCAATCAAGGTTTGCTTAAAAACAAAAATTGGAGGGCTGCAGATATGGCTTAGAGGTATAGCCCCTGCCTAGCATGCTTGAGGCCCTGAGTTCAATCCCCAGCATAGCCAAAAAGAAAAAAAGAAACAAAAGTTGGTTATTCCAGAGTGTATAATTCAACTTATGAAAGCATAGATTTTAGATGAATTTACAGTCTTATAAAAGAGGAAAAATAATCTCAGGAAATGACAGCTTGCATAACCACCCTAACCTAGCAGCAAATTTAAACATTTAAGTGAAACAACCCCTCCAATCTGATTCTAACTTCTGCATCTACTACCTGATTTCTATACAGTAGTTTCCATGCTACTACTAGAATGACTTATCTGTTAAAACATTTTTTTTCAAGTGAGAAGATTGAATTGCAGATGATTCTGTGAATGTCTATATAATCATTTAAGTGGCCTGCTTTTCATTGCTGTCAAATTCAAGGACATATCATTTGGTAACATGGGTGTAGCCTCAAAAACCAGATGAAAGTTAACTACTTATAAGTTTATATGAAAGGCAAGAGGCAAAAAGACAAGGGTTTAGAATGTATCTGTAACTGACAATTAGTAAATATAAACTAAATAACAGCTTGTAAATTCAAGCTAGTTGTGAACCAATGTAATATTGCTTACATATTTATGTACATACACTTAGTAGAATTCAGCATTAAGTTTAAATCCTACTTAAGCTATTCCCTTAATGTATTTAGGAGAACCAAATCATTGAGGTCATTCAATAGTGACTAAATTGTTCTATCAGAATCCACACAGATCACTAGGGGGCAGGAAACTATTATAATATCTTAATATCCTACTCAATGAACTGACCAAAAAAAGGTGTTATAAAGATTACTTGGCTCTGAATTGAATATTCAATGTACTAATCATCATTTTACTAAGAAATCATACAATAGCTCTGAGTCAAAGAATGACAAATTTTTAAAAAACATGATTTCATTTCAGCCAGGAATAATAATAATTTTATGTGAGAAAATTTGTATAATACTCTACTTACCTGAGAAAGGATCAGACAAGCATTCAGGCTATAAAGCCTGGTCTATCCTTTATTTCAAATGTGTTAATGTTTACATTCTACTTAAAACCAATAGTTTATAGCAGTTGAATAGGCTCAGCTCAATTTCTGATGAAACAATTCTAAGCACCCTGATAATGAAAATCACCTTTCAAATGTTTATGTTCCCTGATATGGAAAAAAATCATTTTAAGAGACAATTTTTTAATTATGGAATTACAATTATACAAGGCATTATAATTCTAGGCAAAAATATAATTCTACCCAGAATCACTGGGGCTGGTTAATACAGTTATATACCTAGGAATTTGAAGGAAAACATCTTTCTCTGTGTATGTGTGTACTTCCTTTTCATTTGCAGAATATATAACAATATTTGAGGAAGGCAATGTTAGCTTCATAGCTGAAGAGAGGAACATGAATTTTTAAATTTGTTTCAATCAGAAATTTGTCATTAAAAAATACATTGTAAAACTTTATTTGAAGGAAAAATGTGTCTTAACTTCTTCCTTCCTACTCTTCTATTTGTCTGACCTCCTTTTTTATGTTACGTTTTTGTGCCCAACCATTTAGTTCAGACCATACATGCAAGACAAAAATAAAATTCTGCTAAATAAATATAGCAGAATTGTATTAGTAATAATAATATTTGAAAGATGCAGTGAGTTATATTCAAGAAGTAATTGGGTAAATTTAAATTCTAGAAACTATTCTTTTATTCCTATTCTTTGTTCTTTTTAACAGTGTGCTGGCCTGGTGCCAAAAGCTAAGAAATTCTGACCTAAAAATATGTTGTATCTTGTAGACAGTCAACTTGTAATGTTTTTTTTCTTGAGTTTTGTCTTTTTCTGTGTGGCAGTGGTGAAATAGGGCCTTCTAAACCTCTGGAGAAGTGACAGATCTGAATTTGGAGAGGACATGGGGAAGAATCAATCTTCAACAGATAATCTTTAAGTGCAGACCCAGGAATATCAGATCTGAAGTGGCACCATCTTTTCTGTCTTCCTGACAAACTTCATCAGCCCCAAAAGTTCCAGTTGCAAAGATCCAAGAAAATAAAGATCACTTTGGAATCACTTTGTTATAACAAAATTGATTCATGGTGACTTTCCTAGTAGTTGTGAAAAATATGCTAAAGTTACTGTAAAATTCTTATGACATCAGTGGTTAAAGCTGCACTAAAATGAAACTTTATATGCTAATTATCTTCAGTGGTCCCTTCTAAAATAAAAGGGTTTTGTAGACTACTGTAAATATAAAACAAAGAGATAATCACATATATCTAAAGAACACATATAATTCTAAACTTAAAATAACCAGAATCATAGCTTATATATTAAGAAATGTAGTTAGGCAGTTTTTAAAAATTCACTGAAAAATATGTAGTTTAAGTGTTAAGTAAAAAGACAGGAGTACAGAGAAGGAAATGTAAGGCCAATATTATAACAAGACAATCTAGTTATTACTGTAAGTAACACTTGCCTTCCTTTCTGTGCTTACCAAGCACATACAAGGTTATTAATATACGCTCCTCTTTAAGTCTGTTAACTCGAAGAGTGGAGTAGTATAATCTCAATAGTGGTAGATTTTCACAAATCACAGACACGCTGTTTTCTTCTGAATTTAGCAATATAATCTAATAAGGTAGAATTAATTTCTGTTAAATATTCTCAATATTAATGTACAGTGCCCTGCTCTTCAACTTCAAAATTCAAAATAAAATTCAACAAAGTATTGAGTGAAATGATGATTAACATTTAACATTTTTTTAAAAAAAACTTTCATGCAGAAATACTTGAGATTTTAACCTGGATACAAATGCATTGCAATATACACATACATACACATTCTTAACCACATGACTTATGGCCATATTATTTCCTTATTGTGAATATACTATACTGTTACCTTTGATTAATTATGTAACCAGATCTTTATTGTTTTTAGTGCAATACCAAGATGTTATATATTTTTAGAAGTGCTGTCTTATTTTTATGCTTATTCAAATATTGTAGTAAGAAATTGCACAAAGAGATCTAACTTTAAAAATATACTTAAGAGTATATATGCAGGGATTAAGTCACTTAAAAACCTTAGCTGCAAAGTAGGAGATAACTGAATATCTATTATAATAATTAGACTAGCTGAAAATCAGAATTTATTATAATGGGATAGTAGGAATAGATGGGAGAAGGGAGAAAAGAACTCCATTAAAGAGATCAAACATGAAAATGTTTCAAGAGACATAAATAAGTCTAGAGAAGTTTTAGAGTCTAAAAAACACTACTATTCATCTCTTAGGAACACAAAGAAACAACTGCAGGCTTCTAAAAATAAACAGAAAACAAAAGATAAAAGAATATTACCAATAATTAAAGGTGCCAGATCAATATGAAAATGACAACAAGTAATTTGATCAACTAAATTTTTAATGAATTAGATTTACTAAAGAAAAATGGCTTAAATTTCGACTGTATTAACTACAAGTGTCATGAATTATAATCATTATAAATGGTATAAATGCCTTCTATGATATGATTATTTTCTGTATATTAGTATAAAATGGAACTTTTGGATTACATAAAGTACTTTTGTTACATTTTTAAATACATGCTTTTATCTA